TATTATTATTATTATTATTATTATTATTATTATTATTATTATTATTATTATTATTATTATTATTATTATTATTATTATTATTATTATTATTATTATTATTATTATATCGGGTATAAGCTTTCGTGTGCCCGTGTGACCAACTCTGTTGGCCTTAAAGGTGCCCCTGGACTCAAACTTTGTTCTACCTCACTAGGTTGTTGTGAGGATAAAATGGAGGAGAGCGGAAGGATGGGTATAAGCTTTCGTGTGCCCGTGTGACCAACTCTGTTGGCCTTAAAGGTGCCCCTGGACTCAAACTTTGTTCTACCTCACTAGGTTGTTGTGAGGATAAAATGGAGGAGAGCGGAAGGATGTGAGCCGCTTTTCGGTCTCGAGTGAGGAGGAAAAGTGGAGGTATGAATGAAATAAATAAATATATCAGCTTGTTGCATTGTCGTCTTGATGATGGTGGCAACAAAAGCACAACATTTATCCCTATCTGCCAGGAGTGATCCTAATTTATCCTGATCCATAAATTCCTTCAAGACGGGCCCCTGAGCTGTGCGTTTAACCCCCCGCCTTATCTGAACCACCAGGAACAAAGCCACGCATTCAACGGGACTTCGGCACTTCCAGAAGGTGCCCTTTTTTGGGGGGGATGCACGCCAATGCCTCCCTCTAAGCTGTGGAGTCTCGTGAGCAAAAAATTCTTACTTTGCGAGCTCCTGGCATTCAAGTGGTGAGCGAGCGATTTGGCTGCTGCATGAATTAGTCCACTCTGGAGCCCCATCCCTTCCTGAGCGGCGACGGAAATGTGTGAGCCGGAGGCTAAAAGAACTGTGAGCCGGCTCGCACTCACTCAGCTTAGAGGGAACACTGGTGCATACTCAGGTATTTCAGCAGTGACAAAGCAGTTATCCAAGACCGTTTCCGGCTGTCGCTCTAACATCCCGAGCATGAGTCGCTTGACCAGGCGGCCTCAGTCCACCTGTGAAGACGGAGGCTGAAAATAGGGCCTTGATTTTAGACTAAGGTGGGCTCCGAGGATGTGAGATCCCTGGGCCACAATGGTCGGCTGAGGGAAGGCCTGACGGGATCTGGTCGCAGGCCCGCCCAAGCCAGAGTTCTGCTCCCAAAGGGGGCCAGCTGACGGCTCTTTGGAAGCCGCTCTCCCTTGGCGTTTGCCCCCAGGATCTTGGATGGAACCTGCAGGATCTTGGATGGAACCTGGACAGCAATTTTCAGCCCCTCGCTCCTCTGAACCGATACTCCGGTGGGAAATAGCCAGACGAAACTGAGCATTCAGCCACCGCCGCTGGCTGCAGCCCAGGCTTCCCCAGAAGTTTGTGCAAAGAGAGCCACGGAACAAGGAGATCCCGTCAGGGATGACGAAGGCTCTTCGCTGAAAAGCACGGAGGTGCCTTGCCAACAAAGCCGGTGTTGTTCTCTGGAAAGCTCGCTTGCATCAGCTGCTCCAGGAGTCAGATATGCCTCTTGACAGCCTCTTAGAATTACTGCAAAGGAGGGGGCCCTTCCTGGTTTCCCTGTTAAAGGGACGCCGTGAGCTCACCTCTTCTGACCGGGCTCTCCTGGGGAAAAGGCTGTGAAAGAGAGGCTCTCTCTCCCTCGCAAGGACTATGGAAGGGCAAACCAGGCCACCTTGATCGAGAGCGTTAAGAGTTCAGGGAGACCTCTGGGATTAATGGAAACGTTTTCTCCATGATGAAATAATTTCGGGTGCTCCCTCTAAGCTGTGGAGTCTTGTGAGCAAAAATCCTGCTTTGTGAGTTACTGGCTTTAAAGTTGTGAGCCAGCCATTTGGCTGCTGCATAAATCAGTTTGCTCTGGAGCCATCCTTCCTGAGCCAAGACAAAAATCTGTGAGCTGGAGGCTAAAAAACTGTGAGCTAGCTCACACTAACTCAGCTTAGAGGGAACACTGGCCTAGCCTCCCAAGTTCAGGCGGCACGCAGGGGGGTCACAATATGCTGGGGTTTGTCGTGCCACAAACAGACCAGGAACGCAGCCAAATCAGGAGTATAAACGCGGTGTGGCCCTAAACTGTTGTGCAACGAACCTGGGTTAACCTCCCAGGCTGAGCCAACAAGCCCCGGTTTGTGCACAACACCCCAGGCCGCCTGGCTTCCGGCCTTCTGCCCGCCTCCCAGTGGGGGTGGGCACCCTTCCTGCCCTGCCAGAACTTCCTGTGGTTTCTCTCTTCCTGTCCTGGGGGGGCATCGCTCGCACTTCGCTCCTGGATCGGGTGGTTCTCCCGAGGTTGCTACAGCTGCCTATCCTCTCTGCACTTGGTGGAGGAACCAGTGTTTCATTCACCTCTTTCCCCTCGGAGGTGCGAGCTCCAGATACCACCTAGCGCCAAGGGTCCTCAATGTGGTGCCCATGGGCATGCCAGTGGAATACCGAGTCAGATTCAAGGTGCTGGTATTGACCTTAAAGGGGCCTGCATATCTCTGGGGGAGCTGCGGTGGCTCAGGGGGTTAAGACGCTGAACTGCAGGCTGTGGAAGGTCAGTAGTTCAGTAGTTCGAGACCCGGGTGCCGCATGATGGAGTGAGCTCCCATCTCTAGTTCCAGCCGCTGCCAACCTAGCAGATCGAAAGCAAGAAATTGCAAGGAGATAAATAGGTACCACTTCGGTGGGAAGGTAACAGCGTTCCGTGCGCCTTGGTGTTTAGCCATGCCGGCCACATGACCATGGAAACGTCTTCGGACAGCGCTGGCTCTTCGGCTTTGAAACGGAGATGAGCACCGCAACCCCAGAGTCGGACTCGACTGGCTTTCGAGCAAGGGAGACCTTTACCTTTACCTATATCTCTGGGACCGCCTACTCTCGCATGTCCCCGGGAGAGCGTTATGCTCTGCTGAGAGCAATCTGCTGCTGATCCCTGGCCCCAAAGATATCTGGCTGCCCTCGACCAGGGCCAGGGCTTTCTCAGGCCTGCCTTGGACCTGCTGGAACTCTCGGCCAACTTCCACCAGGGCCCTGCAGCACTTGATGCCGCTCCGCAGGGCCCGCAAGCCAGAGATGTTCCGCCAAGTGTTTGGTTGAGGACAGCGACGGTTTTCCATCACAGCCGGCACTCTCCTCTGCTTCCATTCTGCCGACTTCGGCCTCCTCCTCAATCTGCCCACGAGACAGAAGAACAACCCAGAGTAGGTTTTGGATTAAATTATGGCTGCCATCTGGAGACGATTAAATTAATAACTGATTTGTTGATATTAATCTGTATTTTTAAAATTGTTTGCCGAGAGCCTTGTGTACTCAGGGACTGGGCGATTCAGAAATTCAGGACGACGACGAAGGAGTAGTAGTAGTGCTGGTTTTTGTACCCCACCCTTCATTACCTGAAGGAGCCTCAGAGTGGTTTGTGACTGCCTTCCCTTCCTCTCCGCACAACAGACACCCTGTGAGGCAGGTGGGGCTGAGAGAGCTCTGAGAGAACTTGTGACGGGCCCAAGTTCCCCCAGCTAGCTGCATGTGGAGGAGGAGTGGGGAATCAAACCCGGATCTCCCGATTAGAGTCCGCCACTCTAAACCACTCTTAATCTCTCCTGGTGTCCGCGAAGTGTCTTTAGAAAGTGGGTGGGACTCCTGCCCAGAGGGGCTTCTGATTTGCCACTGGTGACGTGAAGGACTGCGCGGATTACAATAACTATTTGGGCAGCAGCTGCCACCAGAGTATTGACTTTATTCTCTCCCAAACTCCCTTTCCCCAGTGAATATTTTTTAAAATTACCACTCTGGTCCCCTGCTCTGGGGCTTCCTCTCAGTGTATGTTGTTCAGTGCCCCGTGGCAGTCGTGTTGTGGCCGCACTCAATGCGGCCTCTAAGCAAGAATTCCGCTTTGTGAGCTCCTGGCATTAAAGTTGTGAGCGAGCGATTTGGCTGCTGCATAAATTAAGTTTGCTGTGGAGCCATCCTCCCTGAGCGAAGACAAAAACGTGTGTGCCGGAAGCTAAAAAAACCTGCGAGCTAGCTCACACCGACTCAGCTTAGAGGGAACACTGGTTGTATCTCCCCCGCAATGTCAGAATTCCAAAGCCACCCCCCCCAACAGGCTCCAAAATGGTTGGGGACCAATGCTCCCTCTAAGCCGTGGAGTCGTGTGAGCAAGAATTCTACTTTGTGAGCTCCTGGCATTAAAGTTGTGAGCGAGCGATTTGGCTGCTGCATAAATTAGTTTGCTCTGGAGCCATCCTTCCTGAGCGAAGACAAAAATGTGTGAGTCGGAGGCTAAAAATACTGTGAGCTAGCTCACACTGACTCAGCTTAGAGGGAACACTGATTGTATTCCCCCCCATGTCAGAATTCCAAAGCCCTCCCCCCATATCCCGAAATGGTTGGGGACCAATGCTCCCTCTAAGCCGTGGAGTCGTGTGAGCAAGAATTCTACTTTGTGAGCTCCTGGCATTAAAGTTGTGAGCGAGCGATTTGGCTGCTGCATGAATTCGTTTGCTCCGGAGCCATCCTTCCTGAGCTGAGACAATAATGTGTGAGCCGGAGGCTAAAAAACTGTGAGATGGCTCACACTAACGCAGCTTAGAGGGAACACTGGTTGCAAGCAATGCTTCCTCTAAGCCGTGGTGTCTGGCGAGCAAAAATTCTATTTTGTGAGCCACTGGCATTAAACGTTGTGAGCGATTGGGCTGCTGCCTAAATGAGTTTGCTCTGGAGCCACCCTTCCTGAGCTAACTGTGAACGAGCTCACGCTAACCCAGCTTAGAGGGAACACTGTTGGGGGAGACCCCCGGACTAACGGTACCGGCACCATGCAGCCCCCAGATTGGTGCCGGAACCTTTGGGCGGGGCTGCCCGAGCCCCTCGTTCCTTACCTTGTCCTGATCGACTAAGGAATAGACGTAGAGGGGAAGGAAGAGGCTATTCAGCAAGTGGTCGGTCAGCACTTCGTTCAGGAATTCGCAGTTGATGATGAGGATGTCGTTGAGGTAGTGGAGGTGGTCGAGGTGCTCGGCCACGAGGCCGCTCAGCTTCTCCCGGTTCCGGTGTCTGTGGGAGAAGAGAAAAGGGCACGGAACTAAAGTCTCCCCCGATTCAAACCACCTCTCCACAGATTTCCCCCAAATGACTCTCTTATTCCCAGGGGGTACGTGTGAGCAACGAACCTGGTAAAGAAAAGCTACTCAATTTTAGTAGCGACTTAAGAGCCTGGCCAAGATTTTGAGGCTATATGCCTTGACCTGGATAGTGTCCGCTATGCTGCCATGGGGGTGGGGATGCTCAGTCAGAGTCTGTGTAAATTGCTTTCGCATTCCTTTCTCTGCTTTGCACCGAAACGCTTATCTATAACGATGTGCAGGTGGGAGTGTGTGTTGTCTGCCTTTCCAGGCAGCCGTGGGAGCCGGATCGTTCCCAGCTTCGCCTAGAAACAGTTTGCCGGCTTTAGCCCACGCGCGGGAGAGTGCCTAATTGGCCAGCGCAGTGGGGGGGGGTACATACGAATGCCCTATATCTTATTATGTCCAAGGGACAACTGCCATTCTTAACAGTGACTATGTTAATACATCTATAAAGGTAAAGGTAAAGGTTCCCTTGCTCGAAAGCCAGTCGAATCCGACTCTAGGGTTTCAAAGCCAAAGAGCCAGCGCTGTCCGAAGACGTTTCTGTGGCCAGCATGACTAGACACCGAGGTGCATGGAACGCTGTTACCTTCCCACCGAAGTGGTACCTACTGTCTTATATTTATTTTTTCTCAAGAAGACACACTAGGGCTTATACCACAAATGCATAGAAATCCTGCTAGGGCTTATTTTGGGGATAGGTCTTTTCGGGGAAACAGGGTATGTATCTACTTGCAATTTCTTGCTTTCAAACTGCTAGGTTGGCAGGAGCTGGAACTAGAGACGGGAGCTCACTCCATCATGCGGCACACTCGGTCTCGAACTGCTGAACTACCGACCTTCCACAGCCTGCAGTTCAGCGTCTTAACCCCTTGAGCCACCGCAGCTCCAGGTAATGCATCTATAGCTCTTCAATAAAAGCATAACCTTTCTTGAAAGCGTGTACTCCGCTGTTGGCTGTGGGTTCTGACAGATAGCCCCGTGTCAGCTACGCTGCCGTTGCAGGTGGTGGTGGTGGGAATGGAGGCTGTGGGACGGACTGCTTCATGTGCTGGAATGTCCACTCTCATTTCTTCCAGTGAGTCTTCTCTTTGTGGCTAGGCTTGTGACCTTGGTACCTTCCTCCTGCTGCTCTGCTGGGTATGTGAACCCGTTCGTTTAGGCGCGCTGTACTTTGTTTTCTGATTGGCTTAATTACGTCAGGGGACTCCTCTTTGAATTCTGTAGATCTTCACCCTCTCCCGCCTAAAGGGTAGTTCTGAGACTGAACGGGTGCACAGAGGGCCTGCCTTTACTCTGCTCGAAAAACTTGTTGTTGAGACAGGTTGCTGCGGGACTCCGACACCCAGGCAAGCCCGATCTCGTCAGATCTTGGAAGCGAGAAGCAGGGCTGACCCTGGCAAATATTTGGACGGGAGACCTCCAGAGAACACCAGGGCCGGGAGACCAGAGGCAGGCAATATCAAGCCACTTCTCTGCACGTCCTCCATGCCCCAGTAGGAGTCGCCAGAGGTCGCTGTGACTTCCGGGAATGGGGGCACGTACACACACAAATCCCCCCCCCCAAATAAAAGATTTTTGGGTTACATGACCTTTCTTGGGCCTCGAAAGCTCACCCCCCAAAAAAATCTTGTCGGTGTCTAAGTTGCTACTAGAATCTGGCTGCTCTTCTGCAGATCAGTGCAGATACTCTCCTGAACTATCTGTTAAAAGAGCAGTCCTTAGAACAGATCTAAAAGCCTCCAAAATGTCTCCCTGACCCTCCTCCACGCTTCTGTTATTCTACACACACAAAAAAAAACCAACAACAGGTGAGCCGGCAACATCTCCTCCTCTAGGCCCTGGTCCTACACATTTCGGCTGGGTTATTATTATTATCGTCATCATCAATTCAATTTATGAATCACCCCATTATGATGCCTCCAGAGATGACGCCAGCCATCTCTCTCTCTCTCTCTCTCTCTCTCTCTCTCTCTCTCTCTCTGTGACCACAAAGAGACTGGCCATACCAGAAATATGAAAACCCTGGCATTATTAACCCCTTTATCTTTTCCCATACGACTTCTTGCATGGTTAACAAGCAACTTGCTAACTATCTTCTATGAAGGGCAAGGAGCCGCCAGAGCGTCTGCTAACTGGAAACAAGTCCTGGCCTACCTCTTGGGTCCTGGTGTCAAGCAGGAGGGAGACTCAGAAGACACGCTTCAAAGACCTCTCCTATTGGCTCCCATTTATTGGCTCCCATTTATCATCTGAGAGCCAAGCGTGCCCCTGCCCCGCCCCATGAATTTATGCAGATTTAGCCAACTGACAGCGAAGCCTTTCTGACTGGAGACCTGTGAGTATTTTCGTCTAAAGTTGAGCACGGCACCCAGAAAAGCTCAGTAAGCAAGAAACGTCCCCTGAATTATATTGTTTACGACATACCTGCGGGACCGCCTCTCCCCAGTTTGGTGTAGTGGTTAAGTGTGCGGACTCTAATCTGGAAGAACTGGGTTTGATTCCCCACTCCTCCACTCGCAGCTGCTGGATGACCTCGGGCAAGCCATACTTTTGGCACAGCTGTTCTTGAAAAAGAGCCGTTTCTCTCAGAGCTCGCTCAGACCCACCCACCTCACAGGGGGTGTCTGCTATGGGGAGGGGAAGGGAAAGGAGTCTGTAAGCTGCTCTGAGACTCCTTTGGGTAGTGAAGGGCGGGGGTATAAATCCAGTCTCTCTCTTCTCTTATGTACCCCGAAGAGCCTCACACTCGATAGGCCAACATCTGTTGGTAGTCCCTGGCCCAACGGACGTCTGACTAGCCTCAAGTAGGGCCAGGGAATTTTTGGCCCCGGCCCCGACCTGGTGGAATGTGCTCCCATTGGAGATCAGGGCCCTGCAGGATCTCTTACAATTCCACAGGGACTGCAAGATGGAGCTCTTCCGCCAGACATTTAGCTGAGGCAGCGGACGCCCGACATGTTTTCGGCCCCTCCTGCTCACACTGCCAACCTAAGCCGATGACTTTTTCTAGCCGGAGACCCTGGTCTCGGAGCTGCATCTTTCAAAACAAAGCAGAGCCAGGCTATATGAAACTGAAGCATTGTCATCCTATGAGTTTTTAGTTGCATTTTAATATGACTTTTCGCAGTTCTAATGCTGAGTTTTGTATTGGTTTCTCTGTTGTGACCCGCCCTGAGCCAGCTCGCCGGGAGGGCGGGACAGAAGTCCAAGAAATAAAATAAATATAATTAAATCATATCATTTAGAAGTTGCGTTGAAGTCATTTGTCTTAGAAAGGTATACCCCTGTGAAGGACAATGCGGGTAATTTGAAGGATCGGCTAGCAGGCCAACGCTCCCTCTAAGCTGTGGAGTCTTGTGAGCAAAAATTCTACCTTGTGAGCTACTGGCATTAAAGTTGTGAGTGAGCGATTTGGCTCCTGCATCAATTAGTTTGCTCTGGTGCCATCCTTCCTGAGCCGAGAGAAAAACATGTGAGCCGGAGGCTAGAAAACTGTGAGTGAGCTCACACTGACTCAGCATAGAGGGAACACTGGTTGTACACTCCCTCGTGTCAGAATTGATTGGGGACCAATTCTCCCTCTACGCCGTGGAGCCTTGTGAGCACAAATTCCACTTTGTGAGCTACTGGCATTAAAGTTGTGAGCCAGTGATTAGGCTGCTGCATAAATTAGTTTGCTCTGGAGCCCTCCTTCCTGAGCTAAGGCAAAAATGTGTGAGCCGGAGGCTAAAAAACTGTGAGCTAGCGGACACCAACTCAGCTTAGAGGGAACACTGCTTGCAATCAATGCTCCCTCTGTGGAGACATGTGAGCAAAAATTCTACTTTGTGAGCTTCCGGCATTAAAAGTTGTGAGCGAGCGATTTGGCTGCTGCATAAATTAGTTTGTTCTGGTGCCATCCTTCCTGAGCCGAGACAAAATGTGTGAGACGGAGGCGAGAAAACATAGAGGGAACAGTGCTCGCAATGAAAGCTCCCTCTGTGGAGTCTTGAGAGCAAAAATTCTACTTTGTGAGCCGCTGGCATTAAAGTTGTGAGCGAGCGATCTGGCTGCTGCATAAATTAGTGCGCTCTGGAGCCACCTCCTTCCTGAGCAGAGGCAAAAATGTGTAAGATGGAGGCTAGAAAACTGTGAGCTACCTTACACGAACTCAGCTTAGAGGGAACACTGGCCCCATCCAATTTATGCTTTTCTTCTTTTTGACTGGAGAGTCACAGCTGATTTATGGCGATCCTGTCGGGTTGTCAAGGCAAGTCGGCTACCGTCGCCTGCCTCTGCGTAGTGACCCTGGACTTCCTTGGCGGTCTCCCATCCAAAATACTGACCAGGGGTGACCCCTGCTTCGCTCCCAAGATCTGATGAGACTGGATCAACCTGCCTCTGCGTAGCGACCCTGGACCCCCTCAGTGGTTTCCCGTGGAAATACTAACTGGGGCCAAACCTGCTTAGCCCCCGAGAGCTGATGAGACTGGGCGAGCCTGGTTAAGGCAATTTATGCCTTCAGAGCAGCAAAGAATCTATTTAATTATTTTCGATCTATAACCTCCATCACGCACTCCCTCCCCCCCTGCTCGTAAACCTGTGCCAACAGCGATAAAGAGTGTAGTATGAATGGGACTATAAAGATTTCCTTTTTCTGATCATTCCTATTGTCCTGGTTTCATAGATTTTTCTCTTAAGTAAGATTTTATTAGGGTGTGATGCAGGCCTACTAAACAGTAGGACTTTCTCTTGTAGGTTAGATTATTTTTCTAGCTGATGGCACCGGACAAGAAAATAATATTCTTTTGGTATAGAAGATAGGTATAGAGTTCATGGTTTTTAGTTGTTTAGGGTACAACTTTGCAGTGTCTGAGTCAAAAAAAGGATTTTAGCTGCGTATCAGAAAAAAACCAAAAACACACGCCTTTGTTTGGGTATGAAGAATCCTTGGCCAATATTATTCAGGTTAGGTTAAGTAAACATTTTAAGATATTATGTCAGCACACCTTTCTTCACATTGAGTGGACTATTACTCAAATGATGCACTGTCCTTTGTAGCCAATTATGCTTTTTGAATGCTATCTTCATGACTCTGTCGTTTCAAGTATAAAATTTCATGTACTTCCTGATTGTGTTCAGAAAGCAGTCAATTTTTTTTTGATAGCGAAATGTTGGAAATCCGATAGAACTCCATCGAGGGAAGAACTAGTTTGGAAATTGATGGATATGGCTGAAATGGACAGATCGACTTGTTTTTTACAAGAGAAAGGTGACGAAACGCATTTAAGAATGTTGGTCAAGAATGTATAAGTGGAATGAGAAACTTATCAAGAAATGTATACATTAGGTGAGCAGAGATGGCGTTTACCCTTTGAGGATGTGTAAGACTCTGTGGATTATGGGTTTTTTTACAAGCAATTTTCTGTGTATTAAATCAAAATTATAAAACAAAAACCCCCAGAAAGCAGTCAATTTTTGATAGGCTAAGTTTCACCTAACTGTTTTCAGGTGTCTTGGTTGCAATTAAAACACTATGAACCTTCCTCCTTATTTTGACTTCAGTTTTTTTGACTGGGAATCTATTTGTATAACAAGAGGACTTACTCCTCGTCCGTCTGCACACAGTTATCCAGCTCGATCACGTGGCTCCCGATAAACCAGACGAGGTTGGAGAAGTACGGGACGGCCGTTTTATCCCGAATGTAATGCAACATCGGTTGGTTGTCCACTGGAAAGAAAAGGGTTTGTTTGTTTGTTTATTGGTCTTCCAAAGAACAGCTTTCCAAAACGGGAAGGTAAACAAAACAACATTTTTATACAAGGCCGTTTCTAAAAAGGCTGGTTTTCAAGGTGGCCATAGGTGGGGAGCGAGCTTCTTTCATGCTTAAGCATCTAGCATCGTTTTATCACATCACGTACATACACACATGCAACTCCCTTAAGAGGTTAAACGAGGCCAGTCAAATGACACTGTTCCGAAAACAGGTTGGGGGGGGGAAAGGGCTCGTGCTTCCTAAGAGAAAACAGACGACACGGCAAGAAAGAAATTAAAGGCTGACAGTCAAAAGCGATTAGTTGCACTTACATGAGACTGCGTTAGGGAACACAGGAATCATCAGTGAAGAAAAGGGTTTAAAAAAAAAACCAGACAATGGTTAACGGGGTTAGGAGAGCTCGGGATGGCAAAGACATCCTTCCAGAGAGCAAAACAGCTAAAGAGCAGAAGCTATCTAGACAAGAAAATACAGGTTAAAGACAGAGAGAGAGAGAGAGAGAGAGAGAGAGAGAGAGAGAGAGAACATCTGCAAACTTAGCACTAGAAAGCTATGCGGTAGCGCTGGGGAACCACCCCACCCCTCATCCCATCCTACCAGTGTGCCTAAATCCCAGGCCAGTGGTTTTCCGGCTCACTGCCTTCTGGGACCCTTCTTACGCCTGACTTCCCTGTTATGGACACCTCCCTCGCGGCCTCTGTGCAGCAAAGGATTCTGGGACACATTCTCAGCTTCTTGTTCGGTTAGGGTTGCCAAGTCAATCTTCTGCTGGAGCAGGGGGCTCCCGGCCAGCGTCTGGTGTGCGTGCGCAAAGCGCGCGCGCGCCGCATGCATGTCACCCAGAAGTGACGTGACGACGGCAGGCACGCTGGGGGCAGGGCCATGGCCATACGAGGGAAAACCATAGAGTTTTCCCTCGAATTGCCGTGGCCCCGCCCCCAGCATGCCCAGCGTGGTCGCGTCACTTCCAGGTGACGTGCACGTTGAAGTGGAGTTCCCCCGGGGGCCCGATGTGGCGGGGAACAGGCCTCTGGGGCGGGGAAGCCTATGCTCGGTTCGTGCAGAACCTGTCGGGCCCCGCTCCGCATCCACTGAGAACGAGCACTGGAGCATACCCAACCCTGCAACTTAGCATGGAGTGGGAAGACTGACCACGGAGGCGGGAGGGCCCCCTTCCAAGGGCCCTCGGGCCTCTGCCAGAGATCCTTCTCACCAAGGAACCCCTAAGAAACCTCTGAAGATCCCATTCTGGAAAGCGCTGCTCTAGCCAATGCCCCTTTTCCCCAAAGGCCTTTTGTTTTTAATTTTTAAAAAGGTGCACTTGTGAAGTCCAGCTGAAGCTTCACGAGACCAGAGACCAGCAGACCGGACCACGGAGCAACGTTTCGGGCTACGCAGCTCGAGACACCACAAGGCGGCCCTCAGGGAGAGGACTCCCCGATTCAGTCTGCAGGACACCCGCTGCAAAAACCTTCCAGTAGCGCTGTTAGCGAGGAGTGAACGCAACTACGTGTGCTGCTTAAACCGAACACACGGCTGTGGCGAATCTCTTTCACGCACCGTGTCAGACATTCAAATGATCAAGGAGACGAGGGTGGGGGGTTTTCAAATCTTGTCCAGAGCACTTCTGGAGAACTTAAACAGCGCGTCTGTCTGAGGCTTTCTGAGGAATGCAATTATGGCTCGCCTTGAAATGGTACTTTTGTAGTGGCGTTGGCGGTTAAGCGCGGACTAAATATAGCCCCTTTTATTCCTAAAAAAGCTTTCTGAAACTGAAGGGGGGGGGGGAGAATTCAAGTGCAATACTGAAAGAGCAGCACGCAGCCCCGTAGCTAACAACGTTTTGCTCAGGGGGGCAATGTTTTTCTCGGGGGTCCTGCCATTATATGTCTGTGCAGTACTGCCATGCCATGCTCATACTTCTAAATAATGAAATATTAAATAATAAATACAATAAATAATAATACTTGGCATTAAAGTTGTGAGCGAGCAATTTGGCTGCTGCATAAATTAGTTTGCTCTGGAGCCACATCCTTCCAGAGCTGAGACAGAAATGTATGAGCCGGAGGCTAAAAAACTGTGAGCTGGCTCACACCAACTCAGCTTAGAGGGAACACTGGTTGCAAGCAATGCTCCCTCTAAGCCGTCGTGTCTTGTGAGCAAAAATTCTACTTTCTGAGCCGCTGGCATTCAAGTGGTGAGCGAGCAAATTGGCTGCTGCATAAATTAGTTTGCTCTGGAGCCGTCCTTCCTGAGCGCCGGAGGCTAAAAAACTGTGAGCTGGCTCACCACTAACCCAGCTTAGAGGGAACACTGGTGGGGACTCAGGCTCCGCCCCTCTTTCTGTTCCTCCCCTCGCCGTCCTGCTGGCTGGGGGTGTTTCCAGGGGGCCTTCTTTGGCACAAGGGGGTCCCATCCAAATGGAGGGGGCGGAACACAGGTATTGTGAACCCCCGGCAGGGACGGAGTCGGACTGATTCTCTGCTCTCCATCTCTCTGCCGCTCCAGCGGCAATCTGGGGCTCTTCTACCCGGCAACAGCCGGGTCAGCACCCAGGGCCTTTTCTCATTGGCTGCCTCGGCCCGTCCTCTTCCACCCCCCTCCGAAGGGCCAGGCCCGGGATCCGTTCGACTCTGCCGCCTCTGCCCGGCCCCCGCTGTTGCTCCTATAGCTGCCTGGACCTCCTCCGCACTGGACTTCTCCCGCCTTGGCGAAGGCA